GAAGATCATGATGGAAGCACATCTCTACGCTCTACATGACTGCATGTGGATGGTGCTTGAGGATGGACCCTTGAAAATCCAAATGGAGAATCCTGAGAGGAATCCAGCAACTCCTGATGTAATCCAGTACATTCCAAAGCCCAAGGAAAAATGGGATGATAGAGATTGTAAAAAGCACAATCTGGACAACGTCGCCAAAGCAGCCATCTTCAAGACACTTGATCCCATCACCTTCTCCAAAATCAAGCATCTCAAGACTGCCATGGAAATATGGCAAGGTCTTGGGAAGCTATGTGAGGGATCAGAGGACTTGAGAAAGCAGAAGATAGAAGTCCTACTTGAGAAGTTCAAAGGCTTCAAAATGCTTCCCGGAGAATCATTTGATATGTTGGATGAAAGGTTCCACAAAATCTTGAATGATCTTGCCTCACTTAACCACATTCTTTCTCCCAAAGAAAAGAATGTAAGGTTGCTGAGATCACTCCCAACTGAGTGGTACACCAAAGCCACAACCATGGAAGAAGGAAGAAACCTGGAAAACTACACTGTTCAAGGTCTCCTTGATGAACTCAGAACCTATGAGCACGAGCTGAAAAAGAAGAAGGAAGAACAAGTCACTCCCTTCCCCACGCCATTGATGACAACTTCAAGAATTCCATCAAGTGAAGGGACATGCACAAGAAACTGTGACACACCTTCCTCTAGCCAGCCGTCAAGCTCAAAAATGGAGAACTACGGAGAGGATTTTGCCATGATGGCCAAACAATTCCGGAAGTTCAAGAAGTTCTTCAAGAAGGCTGATTCAATCAGAAGGCCATCTAAGGGAAAGCCACAGGTAAGTGACTCCCCTCCTGAATCTTATTTATGTTATAACTGCAGGAAGCCTGGCCACTGGAAGTCAGCATGCCCGTACCCAAAAGTGGAGAAGTACGGAGAAAGAGAAAGGATCGAGAAGAAAAAGAAAGCAATGGTTGCCGCTGAAAGTGACGAGTCATCCAGCTCAAGCTCGGATGAAGAAGCCCTCGTCTGCATGGAGCGCAGAGTTGAGAAGTCCAACCGTGAGGATAGGTGGACTATGTCAGAAGATGACACTCTCTGCCTAATGGCCAAAGATGATGCTGATCAAGAGGTAACCTCACAAACCTCCTGCTCATCTTCTTATAGCACACCAACTTCTGAAAATCTTTTTGACCAGTTCAAAAAGATGATGAAAGACTTTGAGGAGATAAATCTCAAACACACATCCTTAACAGAAGAGAACAAACTATTGAGTGAAGAGAATCTCAAGTTGACTGAAAGTCGGAAAAGTCAACTGAATGAGATCACTCAACTCAAGACTGAAAATGAATCTCTCTCTGAAAAGGTGAAATCCCTTAACAAAGAGCTAGGGATACTCAAGTCCCAAGAAGCAGTGAACAAGCTGCTTGAAACGACCAAACATAAGGGTCGCAAAGGACTTGGGTTTGACTCCTCTAGTTCCAAAAGGAAAGGGAAGACAACTTTCATCCCTCCTAAACCTACTGCCAAACCTAATAAGCAGAAAGGGAAGGAAAATGAGAAACCAACAGAAGTTCCCAAAAAGGTAGTCCCTCCTAAGAACTATAGGAAGCTGGACAGACCTCAAAAAGGAAATAATTTCAGAAGAAAACCTTCTAAACCCCATTATACACGAGGCTATACTCATTATGGGGTAGACAGGAGTTTTCCAAGAAATTCTGAGTGGAGAACTATTCCAAGATACAGTCACTCTCCACCCCAGAAGCTATTTGTGCCACCTAAGTATGCTTATAACCGACACAGGACACACTATGCACAACCTAGACAAAACTATAGGTCTTATCAACCTAGGTTTGCTAGGAGGAAACAAGAAATAGCACCTCCTGCACGTAGGAAGTTTTATGCCTACAACTATGATTACAATTCCAACAAGTTTAGAGCTGCAAGGAAGATTCCCTGCAACTTCAAACTTGATGTAGGGACACACACCATTAACTACTCCGGACCCAAACTTAATTGGGTACCAAAATCTTCCTCCTCCTAATGCAGGAAGCCACTAAGTACCTAGGTGTCTGGTACTTAGACAGTGGCTGTTCAAGACACATGACGGGTGATGCGAGCCTTTTGAGCAATCTAATTCCCTATGATGGTCCAAGAGTTACTTTTGGAGGAAGCAATGATTTCAGCCTCACTAAAGGGCTAGGAAATCTGGTGTACAAGGGACTAACCATCCAAGTTGTATCTTATGTTGAAGGACTCAATTATAACCTTCTTAGCATAAGTCAATTTTGTGATAAAGGTTACTCCTTGGAATTCTGCAAGAATATGGCATCTCTCAAGAACATCTCCACAAATGAAGTCATTCTCACTGGGAAGAGAATCAGAAATATTTATGAAGTAATATGGAGCGATGTCAAGGAAGCATGTCTAATCAACAAAGGTGACACTAACCTTCTATGGCTTTGGCATAAGAGGTTGAGTCATCTCAACTTCAAAACCCTCAACAAGCTGTCCAAAGAAGAGTTAGTAGAAGGTCTTCCCAAAGCTGCATTCAGAAAGGAAAGTATTTGTGATGCTTGCCAAAAAGGAAAGCAAGTCAATTCCACCTTCAAGGCAAAATCGGCACCCTCAACTACAAGGATATTAAGTCTTATTCACATGGACTTATTTGGCCCTGTTACACCAATAAGTCTAAGTGGAAATAAATATGTCCTGGTGATAGTTGATGATTACTCAAGATACACGTGGACAATCTACCTCAACAGCAAGAAGGAGACTCAAGGGAAACTCACCAACTGCATGAAGCTGATTCAAAACTACGCAAGTCAGACCATTCAGAAGATCAGGTCTGACAAAGGCACAGAATTCCTAAATGAAATCATCATTCACTACTGTGAAGAAAACGGAATTCTTCACCATACATCCGCAGCAAGGACACCTCAACAAAATGGTGTAGCTGAAAGAAGGAAGAGAACCCTGAAGGAAGCAGTGAGAACCATGCTAGCAGAAGCTTCCTTACCAAAGAGGTTCTGGGCTGAAGCTGTTAACACAGCCTGCTATACTCAAAATAGGAGTATGATTTATAAAAGGCACAAAAAAACTCCCTATGAACTGTGGAACGGGAGAAAGCCTAATATATCATATTTCCATATTTTTAGGAGCAAATGCTTTGTGTTAAACAACGGGAAGAATCATCTGAACACTTTTGATGAAAAATCAGATGAAGCCATCTTCCTTGGATACTCTATGATGAGCAAGGCATTCAGAGTGTTCAACAAAAGAACCATGATCACGGAAGAGTCAATACATGTTATTTTTGATGAAAAACATGTGGTTGACAAGCCGTTAAAGCATGACCATGAGGTTCTGGATCTATCAGACAAGGATGAAGAAGTCAATGAAGGAGATAGAATGAAGCCCACGGAGTTCATTCCATTCAAAAGTCTGCCTCTGAAGACTTCACAGAGAAATCCGGATTTAGACAGTGCTGAGCCCTCCGGAAACTTTGGCCAACCTTCCAATATTCCGGATCTCTCAAACGGCGATAATACCGGAAATGGCGACCCAGTGCGAATCCATCCGGAAACACCAACAACTTCTGTTCTTCAACCAGAAGCTGGACTAAATCAACCAGTCAATCCCAATCAACACAATCTTCGTTGGTTAAGGAATCATCCTCCTCAACAGATCATCGGAGATATTCAATCTGGTGTTCGCACAAGGAGTGCCCAACAGAATCTAGAAGCTATGCTTGCTTGTTTCATCTCACAAGTAGAACCAAAGAATATTGAAGAAGCTCTAGCTGATTTTGATTGGATCAATGCAATGCAAGAAGAACTCAACCAGTTTTCCAGAAATGATGTCTGGAAACTTGTTCCCAGACCTACTCATCAACATGTCATTGGGACAAAGTGGGTCTTCCGGAACAAGATGGATGAAAACGGCGTTGTTGTCAGAAACAAGGCCCGGTTAGTTGCAAAAGGATATTGTCAAGAAGAAGGTATAGATTTTGATGAAACCTTCGCTCCTGTTGCTAGACTTGAAGCTATAAGGCTGTTTCTAGCCTTTGCTGCTCATAAGGACTTCAAGGTCTATCAAATGGACGTCAAAAGCGCATTTCTCAACGGAAACCTAGAGGAAGAAGTGTATGTGGAACAACCTCCAGGATTTGAGTTACACACTAAGGGAGATCAAGTGTATAGACTCAAAAAGGCGCTGTATGGACTCAAACAAGCACCAAGAGCTTGGTATGATACATTGTCTCAATTTCTTATAGACAATGGATTTACCAAAGGAGTAATTGACAAGACATTGTTCATACTACACGATGGAGAAGATCTCCTATTAGTTCAGATCTATGTGGACGACATCATATTTGGCTCAACTAAGGAAGATCTATGCACCAAGATCTCAACCCTCATGCAAGGAAAATTTGAGATGAGCATGATGGGGGAACTCAACTACTTCCTTGGCCTTCAAATCAAACAGAGAAGTGAAGGCACTCTCATCAATCAAGCCAAGTATACAAGGGATCTTATCAAGAAGTTTAAAGTTGATCAGAAATCATCCGTTTCTGTCCCCATGAATACATCAACCAAGCTTGATATGGATATAGATGGGAAGGATGTAGATCAAACTCTCTACAGAAGAATTGTCGGATCTCTACTTTACCTTACTGCAAGCCGTCCGGATATCTCATATGCAGTAGGTGTTTGTGCCAGATTCCAGTCAAAGCCAAAGGAAAGTCATCTGATAGCAGCTAAAAGGATTCTTAGATACCT